CAGCGGTTCTTAAACCTTTTATGCATATTTTATCTCCTCATCATTTAGAATTGCAAGATTTACCCCTAATACAGTCATTCGGGATCGTTTATCGCAAAGTAAAGTATTTCTTTCTACCCAATCTTCTGTATTGGGCTTCAGTTCGGCGTGATCAATGGGATAGTGGGGTTCGGTTGAAAAGAGTGGGGCGGGGAAGGAAAAAGTGTGTGCGCTTCAGGAGGAGAGTGTTGGGGAGATAGATTTGCGAAAGAACTTAGGAGTGGGGGAGTGAAAATGGGCGGGGAGGAGCACAAGAAGAGTGCGGGAGAGTTTCGATCCTAAAAAGCTTTCGGGATGGTTTCTCCAATCGTATGTGCTTTTTAGCTTTTGCCGCATACAAAGCAATGGTAAAATATGCATGTACGGCAGTATTGTTAGTTTGCGTACAGCTATTGATTTATTAGAAAGGGCAATCTTGACTCAAGAAAAGGACCGGTTTTTACTTATCATGCTTGCAAGTTTTTGTTTCAATGTGTCAGGTTTCGTGGAACTGTGAAAAGATTTCCACTTTGCAAGCACAGAACACACTGAGCAATATAAAGACCAGGATACGTAAACCCAAAATCGAAATAATCGCCCTTATCAGGTGTTATGACAGTTTATTTATTATAACCAAAATTATGGCTTTAAGAAACTAAAAACGCATCTTAACCTAAACACAAGAACATGCAACATAATTACATTGAGTCACCAAGTACAGCCAAACTTAATCGGACTACCGTCTAATACTCGTAACGTAACTAATGCAGCAAGGCAAATGCAGTCCGTTGTCGCTTGACGATAATCAGTGATCACAACACAAAGAACGATAATGTAATAATGACGGAATATAAACAAAGTGTAGCACACTGCAACAGGAATAACTGAACTTAATTCTCATAACATTCTCCCAGTCTATATTTAAAAACCATAGCGTTCTGGTGGAACACCAATGTTAGTTCGAGTTGAACGACGTGGGGCAATCCTTTCATTATTAGCATTGTCATGGCTTATTGGAATTTCAATTTTGAACTCTTCATTTCGGTCAACGTTGCATCCATCATTTGGTGGTGACGCATTAGTACTTGTTTCACTATCTGCGTCAATATTGAATTCAGGAGAAAAGTCTTGAGACTCTCTATCGTGACTTGAAGCTCTTTGGGAGACTGGACAAGGGGACAAGTCTCTTAATTATACCGTACTCTCCCGCCCATCAAAAAAACGAACTCGAGCATACGCGGGATTCACATTTTTTTGTTCCACTTGTTCAACTAAATCGTCATTTTTGTGCGAACGAACAAATTTCCGCAGAAAAGCATGTTTTGATTCGCACAACCAGGTAGGCAATGAATGACCACTGGGAGAGCGGTGTTGGAAGTTGAAAAACAGTTCATGTGGAGTTGCATTGACTGCTGTGCAAAGCAAAGATCGGAGCGATTGAAGAGCTTTCGGTAACACATATTCCCAATGTGTGATAGGCAGATTATATGTACGCAAGCATAAACGCACGGCTTTCCATATGATTCCATTGAATCGTTCAACTTGGGAGTTTCCAATTGGGTGATAAGGCGAAAATTGACTGGTGGCTACACCACGTTTTAGCAGAAAATCCCTTAGTTCCGCAGACATAAAAGATTTTCCTCTATCAGAGTGTATATAACCAGGTAGTCCGCACAGAGCAAATAATTTTTCAAGGCAGCTTATTACTGAAGCGGAAGAAAGATTGGTGCATGGAAATACAAATGGAAATCTAGAATATTCATCAACAATGGTTAGCATGTATACGTTCCTCGTCCGCGATGGCAAAGGTCCCTTGAAGTCCATACTCAGTCTTTCAAATGACCGTGTGGCCTTGATTAACGTGCCATACGGTGGGGAATCAAATTTCGGTTCAAGTTCCGCACATACGCGGCATAATTTACGAGTTCTTTTTACGTCATCAGTCGAGAAAGGCAAATTTTTCGATTTGACGAAATGTAGAAGTCTTGTGACGCCCGGGTGACATAAACCTTCGTGTATTTCTTGCAATGACGTGGGGAAAACTGATGCGCATGTAGAACGTTTTAAAGCATCAGGTGCGGCATTTTGTTTTCCAGGTCGATATCTAACGTCGTAACTGAAAGAGGCTAGTTCCAGCCTCCAGGACTGAATTTTATTATTCTTTATTTTGGATCGACGACGATTATCTAGCATGAAAGAAACCGATCGATGGTCGGTCACGATAGTTAATGGACGTCTTGCCAGAAAATGGGCCCACTTTCGCACAGCTTCAATGATTGCCGTTGCCTCCTTTTCTACAGCGGGTTAGGTTAGTATGCTTGCAAGTGCAGTCCCTCAACTTTTTTCGGCTCGGCTTCTTTCGACGCCGATGCCGGCGACGCTGCACTCTCTCGCCCGCCAGCCACCGAGAGAAGTGTGCGCTTCATCCCGCACCGCACGCCGCTATTTCTTGGCTCATTTGAGTATACTGTCTTTCGCTCTTACAAGCATTACCTAGGGTTAGGTTAGTATGCTTGCAAGTGCATTCCCTCAACTTTTTTCGGCTCGGCTTCTTTCGACGCCGGCGACGCAGCACTCTCTCGCCCGCCAGCCACCGAGAGAAGTGTGCGCTCCATCCCGCCCCGCACCGCACGCCGCTCTTTCTTGGCTCATTCGAGTATACTGTCTTTCGCTCTTACAAGCCTTACCTAGGGTTAGGTTAGTATGCTTGCACGTGCAGTCCCTCAACTTTTTTCGGCTCGGCTTCTTTCGATGCCGGCGACGCAGCACTCTCTCGCCCGCCAGCCACCGAGAGAAGTGTGCGCTCCATCCCGCCCCGCACCGCACGCCGCTCTTTCTTGGCTCATTCGAGTATACTGTCTTTCGCTCTTACAATCCTTACCTAGGGTTAGGTTAGTATGCTTGCAAGTGCAGTCCCTCAACTTTTTTCGGCTCGGCTTCTTTCGACGCCGATGCCGGCGACGCAGCACTCTCTCGCCCGCCAGCCACCGAGAGAAGTGTGCGCTCCATCCCGCCCCGCACCGCACGCCGCTCTTTCTTGGCTCATTCGAGTATACTGTCTTTCGCTCTTACAAGCCTTACGTAGGGTTAGGTTAGTATGCTTGCATGTGCAGTCCCTCACCTTTTTTCGGCTCGGCTTCTTTCGACGCCGATGCCGGCGACGCAGCACTCTCTCGCCCGCCAGCCACCGAGAAAAGTGTGCGCTCCATCCCGTCCCGCACCGCAAGCCGCTCTTTCTTGGCTCATTCGAGTTTACTTTCTTTCGCTCTTACAAGCCTTACCTAGGGTTAGGTTAGTATGCTTGCAAGTGCAGTCCCTCAACTTTTTTCGGCTCGGCTTTTTTCGACGCCGATGCCGGCGACGCAGCACTCTCTCGCCCGCCAGCCACCGAGAGAAGTGTGTGCTCCATCCCGCCCCGCACCGCACGCCGCTCTTTCTTGGCTCATTCGAGTATACTGTCTTTCGCTCTTACAAGCCTTACCTAGGGTTAGGTTAGTATGCTTGCAAGTGCAGTCCCTCAAATTTTTTCGGCTCGGCTTCTTTCGACGCCGATGCCGGCGACGCAGCACTCTCTCGCCCGCCAGCCACCGAGAGAAGTGTGCGCTCCATCCCGTCCCGCACCGCACGCCGCTCTTTCTTGGCTCATTCGAGTATACTGTCTTTCGCTCTTACAAGCCTTACCTAGGGTTAGGTTAGTATGCTTGCACGTGCAGTCCCTCAACTTTTTTCGGCTCGGCTTCTTTCGACGCCGATGCCGGCGACGCAGCACTCTCTCGCCCGCCAGCCACCGAGAGAAGTGTGCGCTCCATCCCGCCCCGCACCGCACGCCGCTCTTTCTTGGCTCATTCGAGTATACTGTCTTTCGCTCTTACAAGCCTTACCTAGGGTTAGGTTAGTATGCTTGCAAGTGCAGTCCCTCAACTTTTTTCGGCTCGGCTTCTTTCGACGCCGATGCCGGCGACGCAGCACTCTCTCGTCCGCCAGCCACCGAGAGAAGTGTGCGCTCCATCCCGCCCCGCACCGCACGCCGCTCTTTCTTGGCTCATTCGAGTATACTGTCTTTCGCTCTTACAAGCCTTACCTAGGGTTAGGTTAGTATGCTTGCAAGTGCAGTCCCTCAACTTTTTTCGGCTCGGCTTCTTTCGATGCCGGCGACGCAGCACTCTCTCGTCCGCCAGCCACCGAGAGAAGTGTGCGCTCCATCCCGCCCCGCACCGCACGCTGCTCTTTCTTGGCTCATTCGAGTATACTGTCTTTCGCTCTTACAAGCCTTACGTAGGGCCAAAGGAAAAGCCACTCCAAAGCCCATGAGCCGGTGTGTGGCTCAACGGGCTAAGCGTTAGGAATACGCTCGCCACCGCACCTCTAACTACTCTGCGTGGTTTCGCAGGTTCGAATCCCATGCAGGGATGGTTATGTGCGAGAGGATTGCTGGACTCCTCGCCGTCGTTGGGTGGTTCACGTAACCGCTGGTCGGTTACGGCTTCCTCCACCACCAAGTTCATGCTTCCGAAAACAAACAATACAGTAAAACTAATCCCATACCCGACTTGGAATGGTAACCGGACGAGAGGCCGTGGTTCGCCATATGGATAAGCCGTCTTATCGGCTTTCCTCTCCCCCGGGATAAATATGTAAATCCTATCCTAGCCACTCTTGCACCAAGACTTGCACTTGCAGACTTTCGTTATGGTGGTGAGTTTGTTGCTTCGTTTGACGATTTAAAATTTAAATAATAGTATTATGCCTACAAACATTTTACTATTACTTAACTTTTGAATTTATTCATTCTCATTAATAGCATCATCTGTAATTTGTTTATTTCCAAAATTATTTCTGAAGTTGGGTACCGGTACAGGATAAGGGGCAGCATTATCAGAAACTCGCTCCGGGCATCAGAAACTCGCCCCGGGCGACAGAAAGGTTTGATAAGCCAAAGCCACCTGTGCGGTAGGTGGGCTAGGTGCGGTACCGGTAGATTATGTCCCTAATTTCCAAAAAAATAAGGGTAACTAACTACAGAACTATTTCCATACGTCAGTAGTCTACGTGGAATTAATTGTACCGTGACCGGAAAATTGGCTTTCCTCTTCCCCGGGATAAATATGTACGGTACCGGTAAGTTGAATCTTATCTGGACATACCGGTAGTCATTGTAGTAGAAACATATCGGGATCACGATTTTAAAAGGAACACAGCCATTTTAGTATGAACGTAGTGGAAATTCTAATTTTAGTGTGAGCAGCGCGTGGGCACACCGTTTTTGACGTAACTTATAATAATTTATTTCAACTGTTATTCAACGTACTGTACTGTACTGGGGCATGAATTACGGTACACTTCTGAATACCTTATTAAATGTTTTCATTTTTACATGTATTACTAGTTAAATGATGGCATTGATTTATCGTTGAAACAATATCAAGATTTTAGTTATTATTTCGATGTCAGTATCATTGGGCGTTGTATGGAGAGCAAAATTCGTATCTCACACTTCTCCTGCAAAAGAAGAGGACAAATCTATAAGTGCAGACTTGCCATCAAAAATAGCTGACAAAGTTCGATCTGATGCTCCTGTCCTTGCTCAACCTGTCAAGGAACAAAGCAAAAATGTTAGTTCAAGAGGATATTCTCTTGAGGAAATGAGAGAAGAAGCGAAAAAATTAAATTTCATCCAATTAATAAAAAATAAAGAAAAATTTGGAGACCACCGCGCTGACGATCCTGTGATTGTTGTGCAGGCACATGATAGGGCAAATCTTTTGAAAATATTATTCGACTCTTTACGAGAAGTCAAAGGCATTGAAAGCGCAACATTGGTAATCAGTCGAGATAAATTCACTCCTGACATGGATAATGTCATCGATAAAAATCTTAATTTTTGCAGATATGTGGAAATATTTTTCCCATTCTTAATGCACCTCTTTCCCAACAAATTTCCAGGTGAAGATCCCAATGACAGAATGATTGCCCTCGTGATCTATCCAAATCAGCTGCAATGAAACAAGGCTGCAACAACGCTGAATGTCCAGATATGTATGGTCATTACAGAGAAATTAAATATGTACAACTGAAGCATCATTGGTTTTGGAAGCTCAACATGGTATTTTCTGGAATCAGAGAACTTAATGGTAATACTGGCCCTATTTTATTGCTTGAGGATGACAATTATGTCATCCCAGATGTAATTGACGTCATGAAGAAGGCAGTTCTATTACGAGACTCTGAATGCAAAGACTGTCTTGCTATTACATTAGGTGCCTATGACTTCACAACAGACTATCGCTTCAATGGCGCAGATGCTGATGTTAAACCATGGGTTAGTTCGAAGCATAACATCGGAATGGTAATAAATCAACAATTTTTTGATAAAATTACATCATGCTCTAAATATTTCTGCACCTATGATGATTACAACTGGGACTGGACTTTGCAATCAACCGCATTGAAATGCTTTTCAGATATTCACCTTTATTCCCTCATATTAAAAGTACCAAGAGTTTACCATCTTGGATGTACTGGGTTCCATCAGAAACCTGCAGGTGGAACGTGCGACATAGCCGCAGAGGTTGAAAAACTCAGAGGATTATTACGAAAAGAAGCCTCAAATTTATTCCCCCCTACCCTTTTCTTGAAGTCATCGAGCAAAAGCCCCAACAGTCCACATGTACAGAATGGTGGTTGGGGTGATATCAGAGACCATGAATTATGCCAAAGTTATACAAGTTTATGTAAAGAATACTTGAACTTGGGTTGAATATAAGCGTTTTGGATATATTCTCCTGAAAATTAGTTGAAACTGCAATGATTTGAGGTGTATATGGCCAAGCAATGAATTTATCCCCTGAGGTTTTTGGAGTGCACTTATGTATCCCATAATGTGTAATTGTGCATTGCAACCTGAATGCAACTGCATGATATTTATCTAAATTGCATCGTTTTATATTCTATTGCAGATCTACTTTTATTATTGAAGAATATAAGCTAGGGTTTGCATGGAACTATGTAAGGTACTCCTGAAGTATGTGAACCCAGATGGCGGACACTGGAACATAGTATGTGTACCAGGTTAGGCCATAATTTCAGGTACAAATACTATGGGAGGTACTCGGCTAGTCCTCGAACTCGTAATAGAACTAAAATAAGGAAAACACATACTACGTTCAGGTGTCCATCATTTTGGTTCACATACTTCGGGAGTACCTTATGTAATGCATGTTTTAAGTGGAAAAATTCCAAGTAAATTATGTTTTAACCGGGCAACGTAATTTGTTTAATCTAAGCTGTAATAGAGATGACTAAATCATTAAAATAATTTTTTTTTGTATGATGCAACACAAGAGCCACGATATTGTATCCCTTTCTGTAAAATAGTAACATAATTATCCCTGTTGTAATCAACAAATTGTGTTAATAGGATTAACTTTAAATAGTTTGAATCTCAATATCTGGTATAAACGATAATTTTTGGGTTGGATTTTTTATTTTCAAGAGTAAGTCTCAGATGCCTTTCCAAAGTAGTACTTGCATCAGTAGGGAATTATCCACATTGGTAGTAAAATTTTGAAAAGTAACCTCATTATAAATGCTTGCTTTTATAGTGCACTTGTGTAGGTGTGACTGATAATATACATTTTATGTTTGAATTCTTTATTAACAATAATTTCCTGCCATGATTGAAATTGGCAACAATCTTTCTTTGCGTTTGCAGTAATCTAGTCTGTATATACAATTGTGATGGAAATGTTTACAGATATTATGCAAGTAGGCATTCTATTTACTAACAAACCTGGCGTATATTTTATTTTCAGATTTAGTTATAAAAAAAAATATATCAATTTCTGTTGTTGATCACCCATTTTGTTTAGATTTTTGAATATTTATTGTCTTTTTTGCAGTTTTTGTGAAGCAATATAAAACATTAAAGATAAACGACTCCTCCTTTAAGTCACCTGTTTGAAAATTTACTCCCTTAAGGCTTATATCATTCTTTGCAGTCAACTGGAATTTCATAAAATACACCCACTCTTTAAAAATGGCCTTAGCATCTTATTTTGTTGTGACTACATTTCGGGCTTCACTCACTTTACTTCTCTCAAGTCTCTTACACAGTTCCGCATACACAATGTTTGTCAAATGTGTTAACCTGGTACATGTTTTTATCAGACGCTTATTCAACAATGCAGTCCCAACGTTCCACTTTCTAGTTTGTGACAGTCGCCATATGGCAAAAGTTTGTCTTCGAAAAAATTGCCTGATTAGCAAAACTAAATCGTATCCGGTGCTAAGCAGGGTGTCCCTTACTTTATTTGCTCAGGCAGATATAAAACAGATGGTCCTCGAATCAGCAACTACACAATTTATTTTTGTTATGCCGCATACACCTCAACCCCCATGCATGTGATGTTTTAGTCAGTTGCAAAATATCTCTCCAGTAAAATCAAAATTGAATTGTACTATCCTCCCATTGAGACAAACAAATATAGTAAGAATAAATTTCCAAATTATTTTGAGTTTTATATTACATTGTTCTTTGCAAATAAATTAGAATAGAAATACCCATCAGAATGGGATCACAAAAGTAGGTGATACATTGAATCATTCAAGCCTTTCCTGTAGTGACAACGGACAGTCATAATAACATTGACGATACATAAAATGTGCTGAGATGCAGAGCTGATTGAGACTTCTGGTAAGCCTTGCTTCCCTTCTACTGTTGTTGCTGCTGATTTGCACTTGACATCATCATTATGAAGACCACTGGTAGAATATACATCCACTGTTTGAAACAAAAAATATTATGAGCTTTACTATGCCCGAGAAAGAGGTGGGATTGTTTTTTTTTCGCGCCAATAAACTGAATCTTCTTGCACTTAGAGAAATCAATCTATTTTATACATACATATTTTCCAATGAAAGATTTTGGATCTTTATCTGCTTTTTCTTTCTTCAGCTTTTCTTCTTTCAATTTATTAAGAAAACCAGCAGTGTCAGGCCTGAGAGGATAAAAGTGTCACACTAACAGTTTGTTTTTATTTGTTATGACTCTGTGGATACCCTGGACAAAATTCGATGCTCCCGTAGTATGTGCACCAAGATGGCGGACACCTGAACATAGTATGTGTACCAGGAAGGGTCAGGCCATAATTTTATTCCCATTTTCCTTATTTTAGTTCTATTACGAGGTCGGGGACTAGCCAAGTGACTCTAACCCTAACCTGGTACACATACTACGTATAGGTGTCAGCCATCTTGGTTCACATACTACGGGAGTACCCGAAATTCATCACACAAATTGAATTTGAGTAAAACAGACATTTCCTACTGAATTGTAATTGAGTATGTTGCATATAAGAAATCACTATGCAACTGATGGTTGCTTCATTACCAATACTGTGTATTCCCATGTCAATTAGATATCAAGGTTGTTCTCGAATGCTGTACAACTGACCGAAGAGAGTTTTTTGCAACAAAATTTGCACCATACAGGATTTTGCATCAATTTTTGAATATAATATATTATGTATATGAGTTACTCACACAGGGCCTGATTGAATACTATTCACTTTCAAAATTGTACTTAAGTTTTTAAGATCTGATTCTCCAGCATTTTGCTGAGGTTTGACTTCAATTGATATGATATTTCCTAATCCATCTGTAAGAATTGTTATTTCATCTTGTAGACCTGAAGCCAACAAACTTTTCTGAAATGAAAACAATGTGAATGTGAATATTTATTACAATAACACTGACAAAATGACAGGCATATAGATGATTAAAAAAGCAGTGGGGCTCGCCCCACAACTGGGGCGTAGACATTTTTTTGAAGGGGCGTGTAGCTAATTAAAAATAAAAATATTTGTTAGATTCGATCTTAACAGTTTTTTGGGGTGTTTTCAATGTGTATCTGATATTTGTAGCTCATTGTTATCTAGTTATTCTTGAGGTGGGGCAAGAAAATTCTAAAATGGGGGTGCGGTTCAAAAAGTTTGAAAACCACGGGTTCAAAGCATTATCTGTCAACTGAGAAGCAATCTAATATAGAATTGGGCAATAATAATTTAATCTTTAAATAGGCTAGGAGTTTAAGGACAGAAGGAGGAGTCATTTAAATAGGCTAGTGTTTTAAGCTTAATAATGCCCAATCATACTCGTAGTATTTATAATTGAAACAATTTAGAGCTTACTGCATCTGTGTATGCTGTTACAAATGAACCATCTTCAATTGTTTGTTTATCGACATCAGTTGTAATCAATTGACTTCTAACTCTGAGTTTATAAATCCCATTACCACTCTGTAATTTATTTATCAGTTGTAATTCAGTTGTGTTTAATTCTTTTTGTCCGATTATATCTGCATCTTCGCCCTTCATTGTTGGAAAAAGAATAACTCCTCTTTGGACATAAAACCCTGAAAGATAAAATAGAGATAGTTTCATCAAAATGCTGGTCCCATCGAACTATTGTCAAATCATGACTGATCAACTTTCAGCTCTCTTTTACCCAAGATAATATCTTAAAAGATCGAATCATACTAGGCTATTGTGCTATAGCCTAGTTCGGCAATACCCAGATACCGGTACCAGCAGACATTTACTATAATGTTATTGTATTGGCAATGCCAAGAACTCACCGTTCCCTAAATCATGCTGCAACACAAGACTATATCCATCTGTAGATGCAAGTATTCCTTGTATGGAAGATATACATACCACCATCAGTAGAAGACGCATTCTGCAGCAAAACCCAATATAGACATTAGCCTAAAAATAAATTTACAGATGACCACGGCCTGACGGCTGAACTGTACGGCACGGTACCGGTACCGTATACAGTCACCGAGTTCCCTTTAAGCGAATTCATGTTTAATTAAAACAAGCGAATTCATCGGCAACGAAAGGACATCTGCTAACACCTGCCGGGGACAAAACTTTCATGCAATGTATCACGATGTCAGTTGCCTTACTTGCGTGAACAGCAAAGGCTTTCACATTTGTTACTCCTTACATCTAACAGACAACGATTGATACATGCAGGCTGGAAACCATATTAGTTACAGGGTGGATCATTTGTACAAAACCCGTGCAAAATAATTCCCCTACCCCCTCAAATATAAATAGCAATCAACTAATTAGGGTTAGGTGCCCTGGAAATTCAACTTTTTGATTTATCACTAAACCTAATCTGATAATTATTAATTTGTGATTTTGAACCACTTTGAAAGTCGCCACCCGCTGTTGTAAAAGATAGGTTAACCTCGTTCCCTCCGAAATATTACGCAGGATACTCCCCTTCTAGGAGATGTGTTGACCTACTTTCCTTTCAAACTTTTTTCTTCGAAACATTACACAAGATCACTTTGAAAATCCTCTCGTTTCGTGAGCTAGCGTGACCTAGTTTCTCATTTATATTTATATTATACTATTTCAGAGCTCAAAGACCAGTAATTCTTAAATGTCGACATGCCTTGGTTTGCGTGCGATTTCGGGCAGAAAACATCATATATTGGCAATAAATAATTTTTAATCGACCACATGAACGCTGATATCCTGAAAATTAATGTTGAAAGAGAAGTACGCATTCTCAGATATCGGACATCCAGTCGCGATATTCAATCGTTTGTATGCACAAATCTCACATTAATAGTAATTGCTACCCAAGTTTGTAAAGTTTAGAAACCAACAAACAGAAAATAACTTACGGTATTCTAAAACACAATTAAAATTCAGTCGGCAATAAATTGCGCCAAGACGATGCCATACAAAACGAAAAAGATTTAGTCGCGAGAGTTACGTTAGATGACTGCAAAACGACGTTGTTTTTTAAGCAGAATGTAAAACAATCAAATAAAAAAACGGGAGTTACGGCGCCCTTAACACATCGTGTGTATTAAACTTCCCTGGTAAGTACTATTGTTATTGTACTTATACACCTGTTGGAGTATTTCGGACAGTTTCGAATTTAAAATAAATGAAAACCCGACATACAATAAAGACGCAAAAGTAAAATGAACATTTATTGAAAAAGTTATTATTTAAGAAAGACAACATGATCGTACAATTCCGCCAAAACCTCGTTGTTCGCAAGTGAGAGGATAAATAAATACTTTCCTGTATTCGATCAATTAACTTTAGCGTATCGTTGTTCTGCCAACAAACAGCGGGGTACAAAATATTTCCGTCTTGGGATATGCTCACAAATATTCTCGATATTAATATCATACCCTCGCGTATGTACTTTCTATTAGCTCTTTAGTGATCCCTTTCATCCCTGGCCAAGTCATGTTTCGAATATGTGAACATTTTATTCGACCATACATGGCCAGCGGGATGTTAAAAATCAATCGCGAATTTCGTTATAATGGCTCGTTCACGAATTGATGCGCTTGTTATTTTCGAAAATGATTACATTTGTTGTATTTTGAGGCATTTAAGCAGTAATAATTAAGGCATGACATCATTAAAATCGTCAAGTGAGATCTTGAAATTGCAAATTCCTTAAATAAAATTGTGAATTACTCGGGTAACGAATTCAGCTTTAATGACCGTCGGGGTATTGTTTTGTTGAAAATTATTATTAATGTGAGAGCGCCAAAAAGATACAGTCCATACCGATGCGACTGCAATTTATATGGCCGCACTTGGTGTGGCGCGTTTATTAATAGTGTAAAATAAATTAAACGGATATCAATTATAACCAAGCGTGTCAGCGTGTTTATTTTCTGTGGTCAAGAATAGTAAAATACCATCTTGAGACAAATTCACTTCTATTGCCAAATCTTAATTTTCAGTTATTATCGTTATACAAATAACGTGTGGCAACTTTTTGATTTATCGTCGACCAAAAAACCGCCCCACACTCGTCCAAACGTGTGTCGAGCTTGAACGACAGGAACAGATTCATCGACGACTTTAATTAGGGAAAATATGTATTTTATTGTGAATGCAAAATAAATGTAACAAAACGCTTTTTTTGTGATATAACTTTGTATTTTCGGAAACGGGTTGCTGTGAAAGGTAAAATTTGATCTAAATTAACCGCAAAAATGTTTTATTTTAAATGTAACAAAACACATTTTGCGATATAACCTTGTATTTTCGAAAACGAGTGTCCTGAAAAGTAAAATATGATCTAAATTAATCGCAAAAATGTTTTATTTTAAATGTTACAAAACACATTTTCGCGATATAACCTTGTATATTCGGAAACGGATGGCCAGAAAAGTAAAATATGATCTAAATTAATCGCAAAAATGTCTTATTTTTCGCGATACAACTGTATTTTCGGATACCTGGTGTCATGAAGAGTAAAATATGATCTGAATTAACCGTAAATAATGTTTCATTCCAAATGTATCAGAACGCATTTTTTGCGATATAACTCTGTATTTTCGAAAACGGGGCGTCATTATTAATCTAATGTTTTATCTATCGTCTGACTAACGTCTGGTACACATCATATTCGGGGAGAACTCTAGCCCGCGAAACGTCATTTAATTTAAAATAGAGAATGTTTCACCCATTCCAAAACGGAAAATCGCCAGTAAGTCGACAGGGATTCAACCCTCCGGATTCAGTATTCTATATCCCCCGTGTCAGAACTTTCTGAAGAATGGAACAAAGAACCCGTCAAACCGCCGCGGAAGAAGGGAGTATTTTTTGCACTAATAATCAGGGGCGTGACATTATCAAAATCGTCAAGAAACTGGTGAATTTGCAAATTCCATAAATAAAATTGTGAATTGCTCGGTAACATTTTAGCTATAATTATCGCCGGGGTATTGTTTTGTTGAAAACACGTTGAAACTTGAGGGAATTAGTTACAATTAGCGCCTGACCTCTATTAGGCACTCGAGCACTCGAAAAAAAAAGCACTCGAGCCCAATCTTTTTAGCATTAAGTCGCATACGTAAAATATCCTGTAAAAGAAGTGCTGTTCATTAACGTCATCTCGTCTTATGACCACGCAGAAATGCCTTTATTGCCGAATTATTCAATCACTATTTTAAATCAACATTCAGGATTGGCCCCATTTCGGATTTGCGAACTTTATCACCATAGAAAAACATGAGAAAGTTAATTATCGTCTTAATAAATATCTGCATCACGGTATCGACAATAATATTACCATTCGCATAAAATTGGGACGGTAAATATACAAATCTTGGTAGGTATTAAAGCCAACGCAAATGTTAATTTGATTCCTCAATGTCTTCAACAGCTGTTGCCGATGTGAACCAACGGGTAAACCCGAAATATAAAACTTCGATGTCCGCCCGACCCGCAAGAATTCATATTTGTATAAAAGAGAGGGCGGGAATATAGATTAACAAAACCTGGATATCGCCGCCAAAACGATCGGTGACAAGAACAATTAGCGATTACAACGGAATTAACCTATAAAAAGGCTTTGTTGCCGATTTTTTACCGACGTTCCAAAAATATTTGTTATTGGGTACTCGTTAAAAATATTCGATTCAAAAAAATATTGAATTTTGCCCACCCGTACTCGCATATCAATGAGAAATAGTTGTGTAAATATCGCAAAATTCCGGAAAATGCCACGTGCTTTCAACATTGTGATTACAATAAAATGGCACCTAATGGTATTTTGTGAATTTGGTGATTATGCAAATCTGTGACATGCAGCTAAAAGTTTCGTCTGATTTGAAAATCGTGCACTTTGGTCACAATTCATCCAAAGTGACTATAATATTTTACTAACACTTTTATAGTCATTTTGAATTCATCGATATCATTGATAGTCACATGACCACTCTCGTTCAAAGAAACGCTTTGCGTAGTATTCCAACATCTGGTTTCAAAGACGCCGGAGCGTTTATGCGGGAAAAGCGGGAATCGGTGTGCTTGTATAATAATCATTTTATAAACAAGAATTTTGCCGTTAATGCATAAGCTTTATCTCCTATGTCTGCATCTCATAGGTTAGAATTCTGGTAAATATCGTTATGATATGCAGAATTGATTTACAAAAGTACTTGTATGTTACTTATTTGTCAACTTAATACTCGAAAATATTTGTTAACTTTGAATTTTTATTCCATTCAAAATCGGAAAAAAGTGCTATTTCTCTTCAAATTCGGAAAAAAGTGCTATTTCGCAGTCCCTAAAAAAAGTTGCGAAAGTGCTTCGCAATTTTCGCAAAAAAGTGCGCTAATAGTGAACACTGGTGTGAATCAACTTTCTGATTTGACATCGCACAAAACTTGACATCGCACAAAACTTACAGACTTCTGGACTTAGTTTATACTTTGGCAAGCTCCAGTTTTTTTGTTTTCAGATTCACGCGCTTGAGGACGCCAGGACGTAAACCACCCTCCTGCACTACGGCAGTGCGGCGGAGAGGAGTCCAGCAATACTCTCGCACATAACTTCTTGAAGCACGACTCACTTGCCTTGTACAATCTAGGCCGCGAGCCGAGGCCATTTATCTTTCAGTTTCGTAGCGCACACAAGGTAACTACCTGAAAATGATTTTAAGAAGACCCTTAGAAATTTAGTAACAAATATTGCCTTGTTCTCACTTACAAAAGTTGCACGTTTTACAGAAAAGACGATTTTACTACAATAAATATGTGTTACCATCTGTCCTATTTTCTCTGTTTTTCCCGTATCATGGGCCAATGAACGCAGACTTCTGCATGACGTAACAACAAATTAGTCAGCTGTAGGTGGATCCCCGGTGGTCGGATGAATATCAGATGTACTGTACCGTAAATATATACTACTACTAGATGTCCAACTCCGCTCGCCGTATAATAAACAAACAAAGGCGATGTTGCACCTCCAAGTGGCGGGCGTCATGGTTGGTTTTGTT